GGTTCAGCCGGTTGTGGCCAGAAGCGATTCTCAGACAAACTGGCAAGTAGGGATCCGAAGAGATTAATTTAGCAGGAAATACTTAAAAGAACAAAAGACGTGTGACTTAACCAAAGGTTTGGGTGTAGAGGATATAACAGTTCTGTGCAAAACCTTGCATTCGTGGAAATTAAATGGCACTGGCAGAAGGAGATATTTTTAACTGTCCTGAATTAAAGTAAAACTTTTAGCTACCCACAGTGGACGTAGAGGAGTACCCTTTTCCTTCCTGAAGGCGGTTTTCTATGTAGTTAAACACTGACATTATCTCTCCTTGTAGCCTTCTCCCCAGGCTAAACAAGCTCAGGGAATCCAGGCTTTCCCCACAGGACGTATTTTCTAGTTGTTCTCTGGAGTGGCTTATCTATTTGCCATAAAATTATTAAACTCCAAGTAGTCATTTTCGGTTTGTGTATTTAATTTGGAAGAAAGATTTATGTGCCCAAATGCTTGCCTATTATTTCCAGCTATCTCAGTCGGCCTAATAAAAGGTATTATTACCTCATCTCACAAACCTTTATCTCATTTAGAGACTTACATCATCACAACTACGGCAGCACTGCTTTTATGGCCAGAGCGATAGACTCTGTGTCCTGTCCTGTTGGCTCTTCCTGTCACTCCCAGTTTGTGCCTCACCGTCTCTGGTTTGTCCTGGCATGCTCCTGTGCGTTTCTGTACATGCATCATGAGTTTTGAAGTTCAGGAGATGCTCATGACTTTGTCAAGCTGCTTTCCTACCGTTCTTCTGCAGTAGAATTGTTAGGCTTGTCCCTTAATACTATTTCTCTACAGATTGCAAGTTTTGAGGCTGTGTGTTTTTTTTCATTAGGATCTTTGAAAATGTTGAATGCCGTATGAAGGATAGAAGCTAGCGTTCAGGCTAGATGCGTTTGATATCAAAATATGCCTTTTGTTGACACTCACCTGTAACTTTTCATGTTTTAGGAACTGTGGATGGAGCGGAAAGATGAGGAGCTGAACGTTTTATTGAAGGCCTATGTGTAGACCCTGCTGCTTGAATGAATGCAGAATGAAAATGCTTCCTGGCGTGGGTGTGTTTGGAACTGGCAGCACCGCTCGAGTACTGGTGCCCTTGCTGAGAGCAGAAGGCTTCTCCATTGAAGCGCTTTGGGGGAAGACAGACGAGGAAGCCAAACAGCTGGCAGAGGAAATGAACATCTCCTTCTACACAAGTCGGACTGATGATGTCTTACTGCACCAGGACGTAGATTTGGTTTGCATCAATATCCCTCCACCACTAACTCGGCAAATTGCTGTGAAGGCTCTAGGTACCTTTTTATCTTTGGAGTTGGACCAAAAATCCATAGCTAGTTGGCAGATTGAAATTTGAAGCTGTTACCCTGGCTTGATTCTGGTTGCACCGACATGCAAATGCAGTGCTAAAGGTTTTGTGTGGAATTGGTAGTGCCATCTGCGAGAAAAGTTACCTAGAATTTTTTGTAAAAATGCTGTTTATAATTGCATATAGCTTTGCCAGTTTTGAACCAATTGTGCTAAAATATCTCACGTCTTCTTCAGAATGAACTTATGGTGGGGAGGTTTTAATAAAAATGAGCTATTTCAGAGATGATGATGATGATAAGGGGATAAAATGTTTTAAGCCCATTTAAAACCAAAACAACCCCAAAGAACCTAAGTTGCTTAATTGCTTTTAAATCTTCCTGTGTTCTGCAATAGGAAACCGAGCTATGCCTGGGGTGAGGGAGTTGTTCAGCTCTGCTTTCCGTTTTCCCCACAAATAAAACCGAACATGAAAGTTAAAAGCCTTTGAAAAAGTGTCTGCATGCACTCAGTAGAATCTTATGAGTTAGGACCAAAATTGTGGGCAGATGCTGTTTTCAGTCAGCGTGCTGTGACTATGGCCATCAGCTGGAGCTCTCTTTGGACATCTGTGTCCGTGGCAGGCTGGTACGGGCCTGGGTGGAGATTTGCTGGAGGAATCCTTCCACCTGACACAGGAGGAGGAGATGTTGGTGTCAGCAGGAGGAATCCAGCAAGATGGACTGGGTGAAGGTGTCTGGGAGAGAAGGGACAACACCCTGAACTGGTTGGGCAGGGAGGTGGGAGCCAACTGCCCAGGCATCCTGACATTTCTTAATTTTCCTGCGTGTGCCTTTGTAGTGTTAATGTTCTCTCACATAGTACAGTGTGGGTGTGAGTTTGCGTGTAATTCTGTAAATAACAAGTGTGGTATTTTTATTGTGTTTACAGGAGATCCACATGAGTTAATTTTAGGATGGGTAATATCTGAAACCATGTGAGCCAGGGTGGTATGTTGTTCTTAGCCTCCTTGCTCTACAGTAATTTGTTTTGGAAGTAAACAACTCCCTGCACAAACATTCACAATGCCACTTAGAGATGTGGAGAGAGATTTCAGGCTGCTTTTTTTTTTTTTCTTTTTTTATGTTGTTAGATTTGTTTGTTTACCTTGTTAGAGTACTGTCCTTTGAATTTAAGTATTCTGATTTTTGAATATTTGAACTGTTAGTTAGAATTTCTCTATTTAAATACGCTAAAAGTTCTTTCACACACTTGTAATAAGCGTTTCACTAGTTCTCTCATGGCTCTTGGTGATCAAGTGGGCTAAAAGGAGAGGATTGAACCTTGTCTGGTGAATTATTAACTAAAATGGATAGAGATTCTTTCTTCAAAGGCTGGGAACCCTTAAGATGGCATTACCCAGAGGAGGAAAGGAGGATAAAGCTGGTGCAGAAGTACAGAGGTGATATGTGTGCTTGACTGCAAGTGCAGATATGTGGAAAGCTGAAAAAGCTAGGGAAATGAAGGGATGAAGTAGTAAAGGGTAGTTCAGTCTTCACTTCTGTCTATCCTGAAATGTTCTGATGTGCAAATGATGCAGGCATCTCAGACCCACTGCGATGCTGACCTTGTCTTTCAGCTTTCTAGGTTTGTTGCAATGGTATTTCTAGATCTGCTACCAAGTGTGTCGTGATGTATTTTAAGCCAGTATTGGATGGCTTGTTGTGATTGAGCATTCTGAAAGAACACAAAATCAGGGTAGCACCAAAGATGGTGAGTACGTTTTCTCTGAAAGTTCAGATTGGTACAGTGATGTTTATAATTGGAGAATTATTGGCTGTGAATTGTATAGAATACTTTGGTGTTTAGTAGCGAAGAGACTGGGCTTTAGGAAAGATCAGGTGTGGCGCATATGATAATGGTCTTGTGTGTTTTGTTGGGGTTGGTTGGTTGGTTTGTTTTAAAGTGCTTATCCTTTTGTTACTTATTTGTATACTTTTTTAATACTTTCTTTTTAAATTGTAAAACATGCTTACATTTTCATTTCTGGCAGAGAAAAGAGAGAGACCCTTTTTTTCCAGGCAGTGCAATTTGCTTGCATAGGTTTCTTACTGATGGGCATCCACGAGCAAGCCTAGGTGCAACTTTGGCATGATGGGGCCAAAGCAGTAACACTGGATTGAGTTCATGAACCAGACAGAGCAGATCAAAGCCCAGAGGATAATTCAAATTAAAATCAGTGTAATCTTATGGTTTATCTCCACAACAGGCAGAGCAAGAAACTATCCTAAAATTTGTGCTTCTTTTGATCTCAGAGGAACTAAATTAATTTCACAAAATGTCTGTGTTGTGGTTCATGTCCCACAGTTAAAATGCATCCACCTTTGCCTTAGGTGAGCACAGAGCGGAGTTACTAGCTGGAGTGGAATGTAAAATATGGGATGTTTGTGCGTGAGGCGAAGTTCAGGGAGGCAGAACATGAGAAGTCCTCAGAGTAAGATTTTTTCAGGATGCTAAAGATAATGCTGCTGCATGTACTGAGCCTAGCTGTCAAACAGGTGGTTTGTGGAGTGGCCACAGAGGAACCTTTTACTTGTCTGTCTTGGTTTATACTGGTTGATGACATTGTTTAAGACATCTGTGCAACACAGATTGCTTGACCCCCTGATTTTGTGGAGTCCCTACAAATTATAGCATGTATATGCTAATCATGAAGGAAGGAGTCGGAAAGGGCTCTATCACTGCTTTGTGTTGTGGCAGATCCAGTTTTCCTGTTCTTGAAAAGGATGAACAAGCATCATGCTAGGAGTCCTCTTTGCCTATTGTGCTTACCGTCTCTGTAACAAGTAGCATGGAGGTCTTTTCAAACCGTAGGCAAACAAGAAGTGAAATGCAGGAGTGTGTTTTTGAATTAGCATTCATTCATTGGGAGTTTCCCAAAGCAAGTGTGCCTGAAACATCCGGGTTATTTGGGAAGACTCCTGAGACACTCCCAACTTCTTACGGTGGCCAAAGCAATGCTCTGGTGTGCTTTGACAGCAGCCAGTTGTACATCATCCTGGGTGCAACCTGGGGTATCTGACGTTATTCAGGGGAGTGAAAAACTGGGGCGTCAGTTCAGTGGACATATTTAGGTGGGATAGATAGATTCTGTAGTTTGAGTCAGCATTATAACACGTGCAGAGAGAGGCAAGGCTAGGGACTTTAGCCATTTGTGGAAAGTGTTGGATGGGCAGCTGTGGCTACGATAGTCAGGCAAAGAAACAACCAAAGAGGTGAAGTGGTAACTGTGACGGTGAGGAGGCTGTCCCAGCCCAGCCCGCTCTTCTCGCACTGCCCAGGCAGGCTGCCTGGCACACAGCCGGTCCCCTCCTGACTGCGCCGCAGAGACACCTCTCTGCATGGGTGCCCCTCTTTATTCGTCCCACCCGGACACAGGACCTCTCGCTATCCCAGCTACTCAGTGAG